ACTCTAAACTTCCTTCCTATCATCATCTTAAGGTCTTTGGATGTTTATGTTATTCTTCCACTATACCTCATCAAAGATCAAAATTTGATTCTAGAGCAAATAAATGCATATTCCTTGGATACCCAACAAACATAAAAGGCTACATTGTATATGATCTTACCAGGAAGATCAAAGAAATATCTCGTGATGTCTACTTCTTTGAGAATCAATTTCCTTTTGCATCAATTTCTTCTGATCAGTCTATCACCATAACTTCTTCTAACACACCAACATCCATTCCCACAATTCTACCCAATAACATAGATTCTCCTTCATCTATTCCTTCTTCTCAAACATCAGTTCCACCATCTATCACACCTCATCTTCATCCAGTTTTAATCACAACAACCATTCTGATGATAACCAGAATTATCATGAAACAGAAACGCATTCTCCACCAGAATTTCCTCCTCACATACCAACACTTCACAGAACCACTAGAACACATCAACCCCCTCATTATCTCAAGGACTATCAATGTAACCTTGCGCATCAGTTAGCTGCCTCATCTCATTTTCAAGGTAACAAATCTATTAATTTTCCTTTGTCAAATTCTCTTTCCTTTCATAGACTTTCTGGATCATATCTCAAATTTGTTTTAGCCATTGCACAAGAATCTGAACCACATTCCTTTGAAGAAGCCTCCTTAATACCACATTGGCAAGCAGCAATGAAAACTGAGATTACTGCTCTTGAGGATAATAACACATGGACCCTACTACCTTTACCTCCTGGAAAAAGAGCTATTGGTTGCAAATGGGTCTATAAGATAATGTATCACTCATATGGATCTATTGAAAGATATAAAGCTCGTCTTGTGGCTAAAGGATACACACAGAAACCAGGGATTGATTATTCTGAAACATTCTCTCCAGTGGCTAAGATCACCACAGTGCGTTGTTTGTTAAGTATTGCAGCAGCTCAATCATGTAAAATCTTCCAACTTGATGTGAATAATGCATTCCTTTATGGGGATTTGGAGGAAGAAGTATACATGCAGCTTCCTCAAGGTTTTTCTAGGCAGGGAGAGAATATGGTGTGTAAGCTAGAAAAATCCTTATATGGACTAAAACAAGCATCTCGCCAGTGGAATCATAAGTTTTGCACCATCATCAATCAATACGGATATGAGCAATCCCAGAATGATCATTCTTTATTCACAAAGAAAACTGGGAATTTTATCATAGTTTTATTAGTTTATGTTGATGACATAATCATAACTGGGAACAATGATGAATTGATTGATGATTTGAAAACTTATTTGAAGCAGCATTTCAAGTTGAAAGATTCGGGACCCTTCCGAGATTTTTTTCTAGGAATTGAAGTTGCAAGAAACGATGAAGGGATTTGTATAAACCAAAGACAATATGCTCTTGATATTATCAATGAATGTGGACCGGTGGATGCTAAACCTTCTTTAACTCCTATTGATCAAAACATAAGTCTGATGCAAGATGGTGGAAAAGAGCTTGATGATCCTAGTGAGTACAGAAGAATAATTGGAAAATTATTGTATTTGGCAGTGACTCACCCTGACATAACATATGTAGTTAACTCACTCAGTCAGTTCGTTGCCAAACCAAGTCATATACATCTGGGAGCAGCCATGAAAGTTGTAAGATACATCAAAGGAACAGTGGGACAAAGATTATTATATCCTAGAGTAAACAACATGCAGATAAGAATGTATTGTGATGCAGATTGGGCAGCATGTCATGATACCAGAAGATCAATTACTGGATTTTGTTCTTTCATTGGAAATTCATTAATATCATGGAGATCTACAAAGCAACAAACTGTTTCAAGATCTTCTGCAGAAGCAGAATATAGAGCAATGGTAGCAGGAGTTTGTGAATTAATGTGGATGTCAAGACTTCTAGAAGATATGGGAATCAAAAGGGAAGAAAAATGCCTATTGTTCTGTGATAATATTACAGCAATGCATATTGCTTCGAATCCAATTTTTCACGAAAGAACAAAACATATAGAAATAGATTGTCATGTGGTGAGGGAACAACATGCAAAAGGTTTATTCAAAATGATGCATCTAAGAACAGAATTACAGTTGGCAGACTTACTAACAAAAGGGGTCTCAATAAAACGCATGAAGTTCTTATTGAGCAAGATGTGCATATACAATATATATATATATGTGCTCATCTTGAGGGGGAGTATTGGAAGAATTCAGATAAAGAATACAAACAAAGGGAAGAGACTCAAGATATAGTAACGAAGCATGACAGCTCAGCATAACTAACTAAAGTTCTAGTAGTTTCTTTCCGTTACGTAGTTTGTTGTTCATCAACTTGTATATATAAGTACTGTACATTACATACTGTAAATTAATAAAATTACGCATTCACAATCTGAAAGTTGCAGAGGGGTTCTACATGTGCTGACATGTTCCCTGGTAATGCCCGATGCTGCTAAAGGGGTCTAGGGACACACAGAGGGCCTGATGGGGGTGTGGGGATGACTTGCCGGAGGTCAATGGGTACCAGAGATTTGACGGATAGGGGAAAGGATGTTCACTTGTTCTTGACTGATTATGTTGTTCTTGGTTTGGGTTGTACGGGGTGCTAAGCCTGTTTGTCTTTGTGGATTTTACTGGTTTGGTTTGACTTGGCGTTTTACCGGCTATTGTCGTACCGCCCCCTGACGTTGTCCTTCACTTCCGTTAGGGGTCGCCGAGGTCTGACGGGGATGGGGGTTAGTTGGGGGGAGCTCGGTGCGGTTGTTTCTAATTCCGGCAGGTTGCATTTCATCTCGCCGTTGATGCTGGGAGATGACGCCGGAGCCCGGTGGAGGTGGGGAATGACGAGATGTTGACCGACGTGTCGCTGACGTGGTTAGTCAACGAATTTGAATTTTGAAGAGGAGGCGGCACTGACTCGAACAAAAAAGTAACTGTTAAGTATGAAGATAGTCTCGTCGAACAACATCTAACAATTGTAGTAAGAAATGTAAATGATTATGTAATTTTGATGAAGCGATTACTTGCAGTTAGACATATTCTTGACATTATCACTATACTTTGATTTTTCATATTGCAGTATGATAAAAGTTCGATATAATAAATCATAATATTAAATAAAGTTATTTTCAAGGATGAAATAACAAACATAATCAGATCAGGACGCTCCTCTTCTTTTCTCTAGAGAGAAACCCTAGTGGCCGTCTCCCCTCTTTGTAGGGGTTGAGATTTTCCGATGCCCCTATCAATACGGGGTTGGATCGGAGCGGCATATTATACTGATTTTAAGTGTTCTAAAGTTTGAGATTGCAACTACGTTGAAGGAGATAGTGTTGGCGGATGAATGAAGTGCGGCTGAGAGGTTGTATCAAGACTGGATCGTGAAGCCTTGGTCAGCCATTCCGGCGGTGGTGGAGTTGGTATTTATGAGAAATATAACTGAATGGTAAGTGGCGAGGTAGTCATAGCGTAGGGTTTTAGGATCGTACGTAGTATGATACCATATGAGAAATATAACTGAATGGCTTACCCTAGCGGTAGCCTTGAGCATGTATATATAATATTCCAAGAATAAGTAATTACAAAAGTATCCCTACAATATGATCTATTAGTATTTACCCATATTGCAAGAGTTCGTCCTCCTCCAAAACCACCTCCGATCCATATCAAGGAATGCTTTGTGGAAAGATTTTATTTCACTATTATCTTCTCTTTACTTGCAATTATTTTCGTTTCAGTCCGAGTAGATTTGGTTTGAATGTTTGGATTTTTGGAGTTCTTTTGATGGACAAAGTTTTGGTTCCATTCGTTTTAGGCCTAAATTTGCCCGTTTCAGGTTTAGCGAGTCATGTTGCTTTGTATGAGGTGGCTGACTCTAAGTATACTCCTAGGGTTCACGATTAGATCTCTAATTTCTGTTTGAAGATTGACTTGTATGTGTTCTTGATTTTAATATAACGACCGCTCTTTTATAATAAAAAAAGAGGATGAAATAGCAAACATGAATCATACTTCATTTTCTAACATAATAGTATAATATTTCAAACAAGAACCAACAAACTTTGTGGTATGTACAACGTGTAGCGTTCGGCATGATCTTATTTCCAAACTTTAATCCCGACCATTTTATAGTATAAAAAATAACGAGAATTCCAATCCAAAACTAGAAATGATGCAAAGACGATTCGTTTCTAATCCAAGTTATGTATTTCTTTAAGAAAGTCAAAGATTATTGTTTAGAACTTTGTAATGGGTTCAAAACTTTACCAGCTATAATCCCTAGATGTATATTTCTTGAAGTTGACATTGTATAATCTTTTAATGATTAAAAATAATAATTTGAACGAACTAGAAAAAATATACTACTCTTAAATCGGACCCATCCATGTGGTAGTGTCCCCGCTTGACAAAGTCTGTCACCGGATGAAATAATAGTTTGGATCAACCAAATGGATTGTAGACACCAGTCTCACTTAGATTAAATCAATAGTACACTCGAAAAGATTAGATGAGCGTAGATGTGAATCACAATTCACAATAAAATGCATATAAAAAAGACATTTAATTAAATGATTAAATATGACAAATTCAAATTAGATGAGATCAAATATACATCGAGCAGACGAGATCAAAATTTCATTAAAAACATTAGATGTAAAAGCATTCTAAAATTACAAACTAAACTTATGACTTGAGTGAACATTTTAAAAGTGGTAAAGTTCTACTTAATTAGCTGAATGTGCTGATCGAATTGTGAAAAAATTATAATTAAAAGAGTATATTTTATTGATAAAATTAAGAAAAAAATAATCACAAATAGTTAAAATGATTATTTATAGTAAATTCAACCAATTCAATTAAAAAGTTAATTTTAATTTTATTTATTTTGATTATTACATGGTTGACACGTTAATAAAAAATTACACGTACCAATTAGAGTCAAATAAAATAGGAAAGTACACCGCTTCTTTTCTTTGAATTATTCTTACCAGATCGGTCCGTGAATTACCTACCTCCCTATTTCATTTCACGCGGAGTGAACAGAAAAATGATAGCTGACCATCCTCTACAGACGCTGGCGTTGTAAGTCCACTTGCTTTGCCGAAAATTCTCGGGTCGAAGAAAGTCCGGCTGAACTTCTCGCCCTTCTTTTCCTGATTTCTGATTCAAGTTAGGGATTCGGGGAAAAGCTACATCATCCAATCGTTTGTCTTCTGGACGTTCTATTGTAAGTTGTCTGTCATATAGCCCAGAAATGGATCAGGTATTGAACAAGGTGGGTTCCTACTGGTTTAGCAAGAGAGCGAGCAAGGAGCTGAATTCCGTCGGAGACGACATAAACGTATGCCCCCCTTCTCCGATCTATTAGTTTTACCTCTTTAAATTGCATATATTGGACTTAATTTGCATAATTAGGTAGGAATCTCTTAGGTGGTACATTTTCTGTTTAATTAGCATAAGTGTCTATGATTTGTTTAATACAAATGATTAATACCTGAAATACTGAATATGATATAATCCATGCCAGTGAATTTAGTGCTCCGCAGCTCCAGGCCTTTCCTGTGTTATTTATAGTTTCTTAATGTATTGTCTGAATAGAAGTGTATCTACCATTTGTCGTATATAATTTAAGATCAGATCATTAATGTCCCTTTCATGCTTTCATTAACTATGAATCGTTGGTTTGGAATGAGAAATCATTGCTGCTTACTCCAAATTCTAAACAATAGAAGAGATGTAATACAAATTGGTCAGTGTGCATGATTTAAAACCAGGGCAAGAAATACAGACAGCTATAAAATTATAAATGCATAAGATGGATGTGTTGTTCCTAATGTGAACAAAACAAAACATAATGTTGAAAGGATTCCATAATGTTGAAAGTACTCATGCATGAATTATCTGAATGAATAGTAATTCGACAAAGCATAATCTTTTTATTTGCTTGGCTCCCATTAATTATCAGAAAACATTACAGCGTATCATTGTTCCTGTGTTTGGGGCGGAAAGGATGTTCTTTATTTTTTTCTGTTCTTTGGAAAATGATGACTTACTCTTTTGAATAGAGAACACCATTTTACTGAACTACTCCAGTTCTTTTGGGGTGGATCATTATTGTATTGTTCAAAGAACAACTTATTTTCAAGAAAAACATCATCTGCTAGTTTTTTTCCGCAGAACAAATTATTTTCAGCAATGAAACATTTCATTAAACATATTCATTTTTTTAACCTATTTTACGAATGTTGTCACATTGATGACCTAATTTTTATATCTATTACATTTCCATTATATTTCCCCTCATGGTCCATCAAATAAACAAAAAGGCATTTGATCGGATGGTAATAGTGTAGCACAAAAACCCTTGTGTTTTTCTTTTCTGCTTCTCTCATCTCTTTTCTCCATTTTTAGCTTCTCTGCTTTCCGTTGCCATAGTCTTGATTATATGGTAATAGTGTAGCACATGGGCCGTTTTGTTTTTCTTTTCTGCCTTTCTCATTTCTTCTGCATTTTTAATTTCTCTGCTTTCCGTTGCCATAGTCATTGCAAGTCAGTATACAAAGCGGAACCCAATGGCTAGTCAACAAATTGAAAGGTTTGTATATCATTATATCTTTTACTTGTCCGCCTTAATTTTTATTTTCTCATTCTCCTTTAATCTGAGAATATGCTTACACATTTCAATATTTTATCATGTCTCATCTATGATGCCTACAATTTGTTGTGGCACCGTATCCATATATCCAAATATATCATACACCAATACTCACTCTAAGTATTGTATAAACGTATAGAACCAATTTGTAAACAAGCCAAAAGGATAACTTTCCCATACATACCCCTATCCCTAAAACCAATACCTGTATTAAAGCCAACTTTCTTGTATCATTTCATTAAGTTTTCAAGTATTCCATCAATTAGCTGTAAAGTAGTATTGAAGTTTCTTTCTATTTCTAACATCCCGCTATTGGTTACTCTTAATTGAAATCTAAATTACAAAATCCTATCATGATTACGAAATTATATTACGGTTATTACCATAGTATAGCTATTTGAATCATGAAAACATGGTCATTTTTTTTCAATCAATTCTTATATTTTATTATTTGAAAATTGCAAATGTACCTGATCAGAATCTGTTTTTTTTTTAAATGAAAGTCATATGTTCTCGAAACTTGCAATGTCGCCGCACCTATATGCCCCCATATTTGCATATTGATGCATGTGCATACTCGTCGTTCATGCATCATAGGTCTTTACAGAGCTTGCAAAACAAATAAAAAGGATTCTTGTAGTAAGGGACATAAGGCATTCCATTAGCATATACGAAGTATTAATGATTCTCCATTGTATTTCATTTGCAGGAAAGATGCAGAAGTCATTGTCAGAACTTCTAAAGGAGTACGATTTGCCAGAAGGTATTTTTCCTAGTGATGTAACACATTACGAGTTCAATGAAGCGACAGGAAAGCTCGTTGTCAACATACCATCCATTTGTGAAGTGGGCTACAGGGATAACTCTGTTTTGCGGTTTATGACCACGGTGACAGGGTATCTTCAGAAAGGAAAGTTAGCTGGCATTGAGGGAATGAAAACAAAGGTGGTGATGGTTTGGGTAAAAGTCACTGCCATTGCCTCTGAAGGACCAAAGCTCCACTTCACAGCTGGGGTACAGAAGACAAGGAAAAGGGATACTTATGAGGTTACCAAAGCTGGATTCAGTATAGACAAATTTTAGAGTGTGGTCAAATATCAGTCACCTGGTGAATATATGTTGTAATGACTAACTTGTTTGCTACCTTCTTGACTTCTTCCTTGTTTCTTTGCCTATTTTCTTTTCACGTGCTTAAATGTCATTTCCTAAGGTTGTTGCTTCCCTGCAACATTCCTAATATTATGTTACATAGTGTATGTATGTTGATTCCATATTTCCATGGATGCGGTCATTTTTGTAATCACTGTTTTCATGCTAAACCAAAAATGAAGTGCTCTTTATGATAACTTATAAAACACGAGAATAAAAACTTGCAACAGTAATGAATCAAACCCAGGTGTGTAATAACTAGGGATGGACTCGGGCCGGGTGGCCCGACCCGGAACCGGCCCGGGACCGGTACTGTTCCGGCCCGGCCCGACCCGGTGGCCCGATCAGTGACCGGTCCGGGTAGGCCCGGCCCGTGGGTTTTCCGGTCCGGGCTCGGGTCACCTAAAACAAGGCCCAACCCGGCCGGGCCCGGCCCGGTTCGGGCCAAAAAATATTTTTTTTTTCAATTTTTTTTAACTTTTCGGGTTGGGCTGGGTATTTTGGGCCATTTGGGGTGGTTTGGGGGGTTGGGGTGGGAGGGGGGTTAATTAGGAAGAGGAAAACAAAAAAAAAATATAATGGGCCCGGCCCGGACCCGGCCCGGACCCGGACCGGACCCGGTGGTTACCCGGGCCGGTCCCGGGTCCACCATTTCTGACCCGCCGGCCCGCCCGGGCCTAGGCCCGACCCGGACCCGGCCCGGACCCGAGTCCAACCCTAGTAATAACTAATAAATCCATTGATAGCTTGCTTTTCACGACATGAGAAAGAAAAAAATGTTTTTAACACTTGAATCATGTTACTAACAAAATGCTGCATTTTAAATTGTTAAAAACATTTCTAATAGAAATTGTTATTGATTTCGATAATTTAAAGAATGGAGCTTTGATTGGACAAAATAGATTATATTTTAAATTGCACAAAATGAGATTATATTTTAAGCAATGGCCTATAATACCCTTACAACGCCCTCACATTCCGTCAAACCTCTACACCCAACCTTACATTTCTTCAGATATGATCATTTTCTTTCACCCCAATTAGGATGAGATCATTCCACTCTAAATAATTTTAATTTGTTTATTCTTGTAAAAAGACTTGATAAGTACTTCCATTGTCTCAATATAGTTTGCAATCTCTGCTGTTCTTTGTTGACACAGTTATATTTATTAATTTATTTTGGATATCAATTTGTTAGCAAGTCGAACTTTGTGCCTATACAACTTTCGATGTAGTAAGGTTTGAATTTGTAAGTTTTATTAATTCAACAAATTGTAAATTAATTTGGGAATAAATTTGGAAGGAACTACTAGTATATTAGTTTAAAATTAAAACATAATTACGCTCTTATGTTGGGTTTTAACAATAGTGTCCCAATGAGGCATCTACCACTCTAGAAGAAGCCACCAACCCAACGGAGTTCCTCAACTTGCCACTATCAGTTGCCTCCGGCTTCACCCGCCATGGCAGAAGAATGTCCCATCCGCCGCACGCCTTGCCAGTGCAGCTGGTGAGAGACTCGCAGTAAAGTTGTCTCCCGTCCAGTGCTCGAGCAAAACTTGATTCAGGCTGACCACCATTGACCGATGGATCCGTCGCTAGCGCCTTAGCATCCTTCAAGAACCTTAGAAAGATCAAATCCCCGGGCTCTAAATCATCCGCTCTCGAAAACATATTTCTACGAGTCTTATAGCTGTTATTGTTGTTGTTATTGTTGTTGTTACTATCAGCTGTATTATCTGACGAAAAAGATTCGCTTGACATGGAAACGTCAAGAGCGTCGGAGTACAGAAGCTCTCTGTCCCCTTGACACCCTGGAGGCGGTTTGGGAACGGGCCAGATTAGCCCGTTACCGTGATCAGCCTGCTGCAGATTATTATCCTTCGGCCTCCCCGCGCTCTCCTCCCAAGAAAATGGAATTCGATTTTCATTCGTGTTCGGGTGAATTAACCTGCGAATTCTAGGTGTTGTCGGGCGCCTGGCAGATAAAAGCGGGGCACTAAGATCTAATTTCCTGGAATATTTTCCTTCGATGTTCCTGTCTGCTGCCGCAGCCTCCATGCATATGATGCTAACCAGTTGCATTATTGACTTGAACGTTGATATCTGGGGATATCAATGGCAGTTGATCAAGATATTAATAAGTGAATTCTGATCAATATAACATAAACTTCGTATATAATCTGTATGATTTATGAAAATATGCTAGCAGACCATCGTTTATATAAGTTGTGCGTGGCATGGCATACGTACAGCTGGAGAGTGTAGGAAACTCGTGGGTATCAACTACTCCGTAATTAAAAGGAAAACTTTAGGAGGGAGTTCACACTTTTCCCTAAAAACTTTTATTTTAACCCTACTGTAGAAAGGGCGTATTTCATCCCATATTTCATGTCGGTTTTTCAAAAACCTCCGCCTTAAACCGGCTTGTCTGATGGGTCTATGAATAGGTGTGATTTGTGAGATTTATAACGGTTTAGACAAAGATCGAATGGCTAAAATAAGGTGAGAACTATGGTTCGGCACGGTCCGGGACGGAACGCGAATTGGGTTCTCCCGGTACTAAACCCGGTTTATAATATAATAATGGTTCGGAACGGAACGGGACAAGACATTTTTTGTTGTTGTCCCATTTAAACTGGTACAAGGACAAAATGAGACGGTTTGAGACATCCCAAAAAACTTTGTGAAAAAATTACAATACCAAAAATAAAGCAAAGCTAATTGAAAAATGAACTAGTGCAAAAAAACTCTAACAAAAAACTGCTATTGATCTAGAAAAATGTGTGAAAAAAAACAAATTATAAGATTAGCTGCAAGAAACAAAAGTTGCTTTTGAGAGTAAAAATTAATTTCTTTTTTTTTGTAGATAAATGATAGTTCATAGTTCATATACTACGTGATTTAGAGTTTTTAGGTGCTCTGTTATTAAACAACTAGTATTTTAATAATCATTGATATTTGATCGAGTTGTAAAAAAGGATAATAATAATAATAATAATAATAATAATAATAATAATAATAATTATTATTATTATTATTTGAAGACTCACTAACCTACTACAAAGTACACTTTTGAATTCAGGACAATGAGACGGAACGTGATATATTTTACTTGTCCTGATCCTGTTTTGTTTTGAAACAGTTCAGGACCGGTATGTGACAAAAATAATGTGTCCCATAAAACAAGGCAATTTCGGAACGGAACCGGAACATTCCAGGATGGACCAACGAGGCCGGGTCTTTTGCCCACCACTAGTGAGAACTGCAGAATTAAAAAAAAGGGGTTTCCCCCCTCAATATTACTATATTAAAACCAATTTCCAAAAAAGTGACCACATTTACATTTGGACAAAAATGTGACAAAGATGTTATTCATGTCACTACACCACTATCATGTCACTGTGATGTGAGGTGTCACTGACCTATCCATCGTCTGTGTCACTGCCGCCACCATCGCTCGTGTAACTGTCGTCGCCGTCGATCACCGCTGCTACCGATCACCGTTGCCGGGCACAATGACACCTCCGCAGTGACATCTTCGTCCTACCTATGGTCACAATGACATCCTCACCACTGGCCACAGTGCCACCCTCACAGTGACATCTCCGCCGCCGGTGTCACCGACACCGCCGCTGGTGTCACTGTGATAGCAGGAAACACAAATTTGAACCAAATTCGGCCAGCCGCCAACGACGTCGCCACAGTAACAAGTGATTCCAACCACAAAGTTGCCGCCAACGTCGGCACCAACACCAGCCACCATCGACATGTCTAGCTGCCATCGCCAAACAGTAACACCAATCACCATCCCCGCACCCAGTTGCCTATCTGCAACCCTAGCTCGAACCTTCAGCCCTGACCAGTCACCGTCGCACCATCTTACATAATGGTCGAACGGCCACCCCAACAACACAAACTTCACTGATGACCCCAACAACGCCAGAATAGACTATGGCCCACAACAATGCCAGTCGACCACACCCCCAATGCCCCAGCCCTAGCATCGGTCGAACGTAGCCACTACATCACAACCGCAACAATCAGATCTCACATATTCGACCATAGACTGACCCTTGCCATTACAGCATGGGTATCTTGATCCATACGAACTGCTGACTAAACAATCGGAGAGCCACGCCACCATCGTTGAATCTGAAGAAGGAGATGAGGAAGTTGAGGAAGCGGACCAGCCCAGCTGGTCGCCGACTCACTCTCCCTTACGAGAGGTCTCGGGTTCGAAACTCAATGGAATGAGTTTCAATTACTCCAGGCCCCCAGGCCGCCTCCCCCAGACGCCCCCTGGAGTAAAAAAAATTGATGACGGAGCTAGACTGTCGAGTAGAAGAAGGCGAAGAAGAGAAAGAGGAGGGGAGACACACCTGCAAGTGTCGAAAGCGGAGGCGATTGCAAAGGAGGAGGCGCAGGCGAAGGGCGGCCAACGGACGATGGAGGCACAGGGGAGGGCGGCTGACGGACGACAAAGGCGCGGGGACAACGGTCGGCGGACTATGGAGAAGAGATGGAGGAATGGTGGAGAAGGGGAGGTAGATCTGCGATGAAGAAATGTTGCAGGAGAGGAGAGAGAGAAACAGGAGAGTTTCGATGGTTGGATTTTGTCACTTTTTTCAATATCTAAAATGGTCATATTTTTGCCCATTCAAACCTCATAGGTAATACGGTTTTAAAAAAACTTATAGGTAATATTTTTACAATTCTGTAATTAAAAAAGATAGAATTGCCAAAGTATTATGGGAAATTGCCTTAAATAGGACTCAAGATGATTGTATCTTCCAAAAAGGACTATTATGTTTTTATTCTCTAATAGGAGTAATTACTGCCATATTTTGGCAGTATCAGACTTTAAACATGATAGTATTTTCCAAGACTGACAGTAATTACTCCTATTTAAGGAATAAAAAGATGACAGTCATTTTTTGAAATTTTCAAATGTTTTTTTACTCCAATTTCGGGATTTTTCCCAAGTATTATTTATATGGTTTGGATAGAAACAAATATGATCATTTTTCATTGGAATTTTATCAATGCAAGACCTACAAGATAACTGATTTATCAATCCGGGATCTGAAAGATAAAATGCATCGATATGGGACCCGAATGATGAAAAACTATCAATTTATGAAATGAATGATTGAAAACTATAAATTTAGGACCTAAGTTATCATAAATTTTATTATTATTATTATTTTAAAATTTTGAAATATTATTTAGTTTTATTACACCAATAAACTTTTGAGATAAAAGTTTAGGGATAAGGCTGAAATTGGACACTATGATTTCATGATAATCTCATATTGGACACTAAGGTTTTAAATAGACCAAATTTGACACTATGGTTACATATGTATCTCATATTGGACACTGAAATTTCATAATTCATAGTTTATGGACACTCACTTGTGATTATCTTCTTCCTTTAATAAAAATAGTTAGTCTTACATTTTCTTTCCTTTTTAGTGAAAATAAACCAATTTAATTACGTATATAATTTTGGAATATTTAATTTGAAGTTTTAGAATATATAATTTGATTTTAATTAATAACTTCTTATATTTAACAATTTAAAGATATATTTAGGACTTTTCACTCATATAATTTTTATGGAAGTTTAAGAAATATCGATTTATTAAATTCATTTACAAATATTTAAAGAATTCAATTACATTATAATAGATTTTCTTAATCAGAAAATCTAATTATATATTCTAAATCTAAATACACAAATTAAGTTATTTTTATTTGTTAGGTACGTAAAATTTGATCAAAATGAAACTTTAGTGTCCGATATGAGACACACAAGTAACCATAGTGTCCAATTTGATCCATTTGAAACCTTAGTGTCCAATATGAGATTCTCATACAATCATAGTGTCCAATTTGACCCTTATCCCTAAAAGTTTATCAAAACTTAGTAATGGAATTAATAAAAAATTAAATAAATCGAAATCTATGAAATGTTAGGTCCTAGATTGATAGTTTTATAACAATACATTTCATTTTTCAAACTTGACAATGGTCCCTTAGATTTAGGCGAAGTCCTGCAATGGTGAAGGCGGCGATTTGGCATTTGGGGTCGTGTCGCGACAACGACAGATCTTTTCGACATCCTCCAATTCTGCTTCTATGATGGCTAGAGTTTGATTGATTTGGATGACTGGTTCGATCGATTTCAGCTTCTAGGGTTCCGAGTTCGTTGACGGTGGCCGCAAACCTATCAGTGCTCTCACAATTCAGCGATGAAGATCAGGCTTGGAGCTCAAGGAAGGGTTGGGCAGCAGTGAGGGTAGTCTAAGGGGTTGGATTTGGGTAGTGGCTGAGGCTACAATGAGTTTGGGACAATAGCAGAGCTACTGGTGGTCAACGGAGGGGCTGAGGCGGTTCTAGCGGTGGTAGGCGAGGCAGGGGAGGGACTGGTGGGCCCGAGGACAGGGCTAGGGGGAGGGGAGGGAATGGAAAGGGAATGGTGTTGGCGGTGGGAAGGGCGGCATGGAGTAAGTTGCCGAAAAAAGTTGTCAGAAAATTTCTCGACATCAAAGTAACACGTTTCACAGAAAGTGACATCGTAAAGTGATATGAAAATTGGGAGTGACATTCAAAAGTGACATACAATTGGTGTAATGACATATGACAGTGACATAAAATCTGGCAATGACATCATGTTTTTCCAAATACATGACGTTCTGAGTCACATTTTTGTCTTTTTAGAGAATGGTCACATTTGTGGAAATTGACCTTAATTTAGTAATATTCAAGGCAAAAAATGAGGTACAGTAATACGGAGTATCATTTATTTGATTAGTTATTGGACCACATCCAAAGTATTTGATTAGTATTGGTTTAATTAAATAATTCAACTACGAGTACAATATTTTGTATGATAACTTATGACATCCCCATCCATTAGATTTTTTGGGAATCATCTTGATGATGTGGAAGATCTTTTTAAAATTATGGTTGAGGAGATGATATTACTTTGAAATATTATTTAGATAAAAAATTTGGTATCAAATATTGAATCCTAGATTATTCAAGATTATTCTCAAGTTCCAGTAAACACATTTAATGTAACTATGTCTTTTAATTTGGAATGACTAAAATACCTCCTTGAAAATAACACAAAAATGAATAGAGATCATGGTTGAGGGAAAAATAGTAAGTTTTGAT